CGGGACCCGGGCCTGTCCGGGGGCGACTTCGGGATGTGTGGATCGGAGTTCCCATGGGGCAGCAACCGCGCACGACTTAGAATTTTCAGTGGGTAAACTGCACATGTACATACCCTGACACAGAGCACCTGATGACAGTCATCAACTGCATGTCAGGGAGCTTCAGGAAGCAGAAGAAAAAGGGGAGAGTTCATATTTCATTAGTGGTTTTACATAACAGTTTGTTAATGTTGAAATAATAGTTTGCTGGCTTCTTCATTTTCTCAAAGGAATTATTATTTGTCAGTTTTTAAATCCACTTAAACTGTCTTGAAATTTTTATCTTCTACTTTATGGTAAACACAGGAAGAAAGCAGGGACTCTGCTGGATTCTCATTCAAACACTAGGATTGAGGGTGTTTGTCTCCTGAAACTGAACAATGTGGGTGAAAAGCAGGTGAAAAACTTGCAGAGGGCAGCATAGCCCGAGGCCAGTGACCCACGATAAGACCAGTCTGGAGCCTGCAAAAGGAGAGAAAGGGACCTCCCCTGGGTGCTTCCTGGGCAGCCTGCCCTCTGCCGCAGATAGCACCCAGCTGCTCGGAATAGCTCTAGGAGTGTGGATTCTGAGAAACTACAGAGGCCTGGAAAGCAGGAACTTCACAGGCAAATGCAGGTGCGGATTTCTGTCCTTTTTGAGGTTGAACCTCTAGTTTCCCATGGCTGATTTCTGCAAAACATTTTTATTTATTTATTTATTTCTCTCTCTCTCTCTCTCTCTCTCTCTCTCTCTCTCTTCTTTCTTCTTTTTTTGAGATGGAATCTTGCTCTGTCACCCAGGCTGGAGTGCAGTGGCATGGATTTTGGCTCACTGCAACCTCCACCTCCAGGGTTCAAGCGATTCTTGTGCCTCAGCCTCCCCAGCAGCTGGGATTGTAGGTGCCCGCCACCACACCTGGCTAATTTTTGTATTTTTAGTAGAAACAGGGTTTCCCCATGTTGACCAGGCTAGTTTCAAACTGCTGACCTCAAGTGATCCGCCTGCCTTGGCCCCTCAAAGTGCTGGGATTACAGGTGTAAGCCACCGCATCCAGCCGATTGTTTCTATGTATAGAGTTGCTGTAGTCAGACTGTAATTTGTATATATGAAGAAAATATGTAAAGGTCATATTTAGAGACTTATTTAGGTAGTGTTTGGGGGAAATGGTTTATGCGTTGGAGAGGTCTGTATTTCAAAGGGCTTAAACTGACTGCAGGTGAGAGGGTTCTGCTGGTGTAAATTATTAAGGTATTGAAGGAGGGAGCACTCCCGAATTGTGATGATGTGACATGAGGGTGTGTTGAGCTCCCAGAGTTAAGTCATTAGGTTTCCTGTGGGTAACCTCCCATATAGGCACCGAGGAATGAGAGCTAAGCAGAACCCTGGCACAGTTAGGGCTTGAGGAATATCTCACTTTATGGTGTTACTACTCAGCTATTTCCTTTTATAATCATATATTAGTTTCTAGAAATAGGGCTCCCTTTATATAATCCTCTCTATATAATCATACAATAGTTGATAGTATGAGTGCCTAAAGAATATTTCCTATATATACTATATACTAACATATGTACCTATAATTAACTAATATATATACCTATAATTAACTAACATATATACCTATAATTATATCTTAGTTCATAATCGGAGGAATGCCTACAGTGGACACAGTGCAGAGCATGATTTAAGGGAAAAACAGTTATACAGGACAAGAATCCATGGCCCAGGCAGCAGTGTTCAGTAGCTGTAAAGATACCCACTGTATGGCAGGCTTGGGGCAAGAGCCACTCCTGATAAAGGAGTTGTAGGACCTTGCTCCAGTTCTTGTGGAAGGCTGCCCTCAGAACGGCAATCCACCTTGGTGACTGGGAACTTTATCAGCTCTTGCTACTGTGCTGCTTGAAAAGCATCTTCCCACAGAACCCATTGGAAGCTGCCAGAAGGTGGCGGTAACCTTGACAGATCAGTCACTGCTATGTAGTCTTAAAGCATCCCCCTATAAATCTTAGAAGTAGTTTGCCCATAGATAGAAGTATTGCACACTGTACCCTCTTCACTGCATACGGCCCACCTTCAAGCCTCGGTGACCTAATGGGGGTAGAACCCTTACTGGACACGGCCCTTGCCTGCATGGGAACGGGCCCTCGCGGCATACTGTCCACCTCCTGGCCTAGGTGACCTAATGGGGGTCGACCCCATGTTTTATTGCTCAGGACCCTATCACTGTCCTTAAAGGTGATTTCACTCACTGCCCTGCCCCCTAACCTATACACAATAAATACTCATGCTTCTGGACATTCGGGGCCTCCCCTGACTCCGCTTATAGGTGGCGTGGCCCCCTGAGCCCAGCTGCGTTTTTCTTGTATTTCTGTGTCCTGTCTCTTTATTTCTCAGATTCTGTGCCTCAGCACAGCATAAGGCTCACCCAACGACCCTGTGGGGCCCTCAGCCCTACATTTCCTGCCACATCACCAGGGTATTCTAATATACTCTGTGACTCCACTTTAGCAGTCACTGGCTCTCAAGCTTGGAAATACGTTTTACCTTCTGAATTCACATTTTCCTTTTTTTTTTTTTTTTTTTTTTTGAGACGGAGTTTCGCCCTTGTTACCCAGGCTGGAGTGCAATGGCGCGATCTCGGCTCACCGCAACCTCCGCCTCCTGGGCTCAGGCAATTCTCCTGCCTCAGCCTTCTGAGTAGCTGGGATTACAGGCACGTGCCACCACGCCCAGCTAATTTTTTTTTTTTTTTTTTTTTTGAGACGGAGTTTCGCTCTTGTTACCCAGGCTGGAGTGCAATGGCACGATCTCGGCTCACCGCAACCTCCGCCTCCTGGGTTCAGGCAATTCTCCTGCCTCAGCCTCCTGACTAGCTGGGATTACAGGCAAGCGCCACCATGCCCAGCTACTTTTTTGTGTTTTTAGTAGAGACGGGGTTTCACCATGTTGACCAGGATGGTCTCGATCTCTCGACCTCGTGATCCACCCGCCTCGGCCTCCCAAAGTGCTGGGATTACAGGTTTGAGCCACCGCTCCCGGCTGCCCAGCTAATTTTTTGCACTTTTAGTAGAGACGGGGTTTCACCATGTTGACCAGGGTGGTCTCGATCTCTCGACCTCGTGATCCACCCGCCTCGGCCTCCCAAAGTGCTGGGATTACAGGCTTGAGCCACCGCGCCCGCCATACGTTTTCCTTTTTAAATGTTCTGAAGTGCCCTGCTAATCTGAGCTAGTTCAAATTTTTGCTTTACTTCCCTTCTGATTTTTTTCTTTTTTGTTTTCTTTTTGCCTTTGTCTCAATGGATATAGTAGTATGAGCCCTTTTGATTTCTTTGCTGAATATTATGGAAATATAACTTGTTTTTCTATGCATTTAATAATTTTATTCCCTTTTGGGGGATTTTTTATTTTCTTGGGTGCAAATGAGTAGATTGATTTGGGAGGCGAAAGTGGCGAAAGTGGGAGGATCACTTGAGGCCAGGAGTTCAAGACCAGCCTTGGCAACAAAGGAAATCCTGTCTCTACAAAAAATTAAATAATATGCTGGGCTTGGTGGCACGAAGGTTCACTTGAACCCAGGAGATGGAGGCTGCAGTGAGCTATGATCATGCTACTGCACTTCAACCTAAATGACACTGCTAGACCCTGTCTCAAATATATATATATATATATATATATATATATATATATATACATATATACATATATATATAAATTTTTTTTTGAGACAGAGTGTCGCTCTGTTGCCCAGGCTGGAGTGCAGTGGGGCATCTTGGCTCACTGCAACCTCCACCTCTCAGGTTCAAGGGATTCTCCTGCCTCAGCCTTTTGAGTATCTGGGACCACAGGTAACCACCACTACCCCCAGCTAATTTTTGTATTTTTAGTAGAGACGCAGTTTCACCATATTGGCAAGGCTGGTCTTGAACTCCTGACCTCGTGATCCACCGCCTCGGCCTCCCAAAGTGCTGGGATTACAGATGTGAGCCACCGAACCGGGCCAATAAATAAAATATTAAAAGTAAAAACATAGACTGGGCATGGTGGCTCACGCCTTTAATCCAAGCACTTTGGAGGCCAAGGCGGGCGGATCACCTGAGGTAGGGAGTTCAAGACTAGCCTGACCAACATGGTGAAACCCCGTCTTAAAAAAAAAAAAAAAAAAGGCCGGGCGCGGTGGCTCAAGCCTGTAATCCCAGCACTTCAGGAGGCCGAGGCGGGTGGATCACGAGATCGAGAGATCGAGACCATCCTGGTCAACATGGTGAAACCCCGTCTCTACTAAAAATACAAAAAATTAGCTGAGCATGGTGGCGCGTGCCTGTAATCCCAGCTAGTCAGGAGGCTGAGGCAGGAGAATTGCCTGAACCCAGGAGGCGGAGGTTGCGGTGAGCCGAGATCGCGCCATTGCACTCCAGCCTGGGTAACAAGAGCGAAACTCCGTCTCAAAAAAAAAAAAAAAAAAAAAAAGTTTTTACTTTTTTTTTTTTTTTAGACGGAGTTTTGCTCTTGTGCATGCTTCCCGTATCTTTATCTTATTTCCGATCCCTGAGAATATCACACTCTTTCTACTGTTCCAGTCCTGCCTGGAGCTCCCTGCGCACACCTGTGACTCATCATGCAAGAGGTAAATAAAGAAATGACCCATTGAGTACAGGAAGTATCTCCTTTGGCAAACCCGGATTAAGTTCTGCTAAAATGCAAATATCTCCCATCTGCCCATCCCCCGCAAACCAAGTACAGTAAAGGGGACGAGGGGAAGAAGCCCACCCTGCATTTGAGGGCTGGGGCCGAGACCCGCTCATTCCCGCTCCACTCATCTGGGTATCACATCTCCTGTCATTCACATCTGTCAAGATGCAAGGGGCAGAGCCCGAAGCAGTACCCAATCAGGGGCGCCGGGGCGGAGCTCTGCGATCGGTCCAATCAGGCGCGCCGCCGGGGACGCAGCTGCAGACGTTCAACCTTCTCGCGGGATTTTCATTTCTCGCGTCCTCCGTACTTGGTTTCGCTTCGCCGGTCCCAGAGGCCCGGAGTGGCTCGACTGCACCCTGTGTGGCGCTGTTCCCTGTGCCGGCCTTGGGATCCGGAGGGAGGAAGCCGGGATACCCGGGAGCCAGGAAATGGTGAGTGTGTCTGCTCCAGCGTCCCGAGACCGGGAGGAGGGGCTGATTGGACGACCGGAACTGGCTGTGGCGGGGCCCGGGCCTTCCCGCGGGTGACTCTGGGTCTGCATACCCGAGTCCCTCTGGCGCAGCTTAGCCCTCGGTCCCCTCGGCCGCAGGGTGGGGCTGGACCGGCAGCCGGGACCCCCGGCGTCCTGTTCCGCCCTGTGCCGCGAGTGCGGCCCCGGCCCCGGAGCCCCGAGTCTCCCCAGATTGTATAGGGGCCACGGGAGGGTCATGGGGTGGGGGAAATCCTGACTTATACGTGGAAGGAGCTGTAGTGTGTGAGATCCCAGTTTCTTTTCTCTTCCCAGAGGACACCTGTTTTCCCCCTGAGTTTACTAACAGTATGGGATGCAGGGTCCCAAAACCTCACCCCGTCCCCCAGCTTGCTGTTTCTAGGGCTTGCAGTAAATCCCCAATTTTCCGGTTCTCTTCTTGCTTTTCCAGACGCCAACCTCTTCCCTCCAATTCACGACAACATTAGCAACCTTTTCTCTTTTATTCTACCTTTCAAACATTGTGGTTTCATTGTTTATTTTTCAACAAAGCAATGGATTACTCTTCCATAAAGATGTTTTCTGTTTGTAGTCTTGATACTCCGCTTAAAAAAAAAAAAAAAACACAAACCTTTGTGCCCCTCCTTTTATCTTCCCTAGGCACGGACACCTCATCAGAATGTCTTTGAGTTGAGGTTCCCCTTGGGAATCTTTACAGGGTGGTATGCCTTCATCGCGCCCTCCTATTTATTTTTTCCTGGTTTTGCGTTTCAAAACTGCCTGGGGCTGACTCGAGCTGCCACAGCTGCCCAATCTCTTGGACGGTCCAGTGAATATTGGTTCTTGGGTGACTCCTCCCAGAGGACAGTTGAAATAGAAGGCTGGAGCAATGATGTTCTGAGACTAGGGGAAATCTAGCATACGCTGCTTCTAAATAGCCAACCTCTGGGGGCACTCAGCTTTTCCTGCCTCAGCCCCAGTTTTCACTCTTTGGAGACACATCGATGGTCAGCCAATCAGATGCTGGTATTGAGGACTGAGAAAAGAAAAGGTTTTCTTTTCTTTTTCTTTTTCTTTTCTTTTTTTTTTTTTTTGAGCCGAAGTTTCGCACTTGTTGCCCAAGCTGGAGTGCAGTGGCACAATCTTGGCTCACTCAGCCTCCGCCTCCTGGGTTCAAGCGATTCTCCTGCTTCAGCCTCCCATGTAGCTGGGGCCACAGTTTCGCACTAACACTCCTAGCTAATTTTTGCATTTTTAGTATGAGGTCTCACCATGTTGGCCAGGCTGGTCTGGAACTCCTGACCTCAAGTGATCCACCTGCCTTGGCCTCCCAAGTACTAGGACTACAGGCGTGAGGCATTGCACCTGGCCTCAAGAAACTAATTTTCATCTGAGAAATGTGGGTCCTTGTAAATGAACGGTCCCATAGAGACATTCAAATGATACAGCAATCACCTTCTAAATCGCTGGAGCTATGAATTCATCTTTTGAAACTGCTGTTGCCACAAGTAGGTATAATTAATTTACTAATGCATCACGGGACCCTGGAACCCACACCTTATAGCTTTTTTTGTTTGTTTGTTTGTGAGACGGAGTTTCGCTCTTGTTACCCAGGCTGGAGTGCAATGGCGCGATCTCGGCTCACCGCAACCTCCGCCTCCTGGGTTCAAGCAATTCTCCTGCCTCTCAGCCTCCTGAGTAGCACACGCCACCATGCCCAGCTAATTTTTTTGTATTTTTAGTAGAGACGGGGTTTCACCATGCTGACCAGGCTGGTCTCGACCCCGTGATCCACCCGCCTCGGCCTCCCAAAGTGCTGGGATTACAGGCTTGAGCCACCACGCCCGGCCCACACCTTATAGCTTAACAGTGCATAGCCATGCACTAATCAGTGTTACTTCTGTAAATCAGTGAGAATTCTTGACAGCTTTGTATCAGCCCACTCCCTGTCCCCGTTTTTCAGACACTTTGGGTCATATTTTGTGCTTCAGCCTTGACTTTTTAGGTCGGCAAGGGAAAAGATGGAAATGATTCCTGTCCTTTGGATTCTCTCAGCCTTGTGAAGGGAGAAAAACTCAGCAAGGTGGTGGAAGAACCTGGGAAACAAAATGCACTTCGGCCGGGCGCGGTGGCTCACGCCTGTAATCCCAGCACTTTGGGAGGCCGAGGCGGGTGGATCACGAGGTCGAGAGATCGAGACCATCCTGGTCAACATGGTGAAACCCCGTCTCTACTAAAAATACAAAAAATTAGCTGGGCATGGTGGCACATGCCTGTAATCCCAGTTACTCAGGAGGCTGAGGCAGGAGAATTGCCTGAACCCAGGAGGCGGAGGTTGTGGTGAGCCGAGATTGCGCCATTGCACTCCAGCCTGGGCAACAAGAGCGAAACTCCGTCTCAAAGAAAAACAAAAAAAAAAAAAAAACAAAATGCACTTCGGGTACACAGTGGGGCATAATGCAGTGTCTCCTGGGCAGGTGGTCACAGGGCACTTCCATGAGCATGATGGGGTTAGAGGGATGTCCCACCTGATAGATAGGATGACCACTGCTGACCTGCTGACACTGGAGTCAAATGGATGTCCGTATTCCAGGTCAGCACTGTTTCTCCCTGGGTTTGTTGCCTTAACAACAAGTTCAGCTTGAGTTTTTTCGCTTAGTCCAAATTGTGTTTTATCAGTAGAGCCTCATAGAGAAGATAATATATTTCCCAAGAGGTGGATTTCAGGGGAAAAGGAATGATCTAGTCTCATATTCTACTCTTTTTTTTTTTTTTTTTTTTTGAGACGGAGTTTCACTCTTGTTACCCAGGCTGGAGTGCAATGGCGCGATCTCGGCTCACTGCAACCTCCACCTCCTGGGTTCAAGCAATTCTCCTGCCTCAGCCTCCTGAGAAGCTGGGATTACAGGCACGTGCCACCATGCCCAGCTAATTTTTTGTATTTTTAGTAGAGACAGGGTTTCACCATGTTGGCCAGGATGGTCTCGATCTCTCGACCTTGTGATCCACCCGCCTCGGCCTCCCAAAGTGCTGGGATTACAGGCTTGAGCCACCGCGCCCGGCCTTCATATTTTACTTTTTAAAAATTGTTTTTTTTTTTTTTTTTTTTTTTTTGAGATGGAGTCTCGCTCTGTTGCCAGGCTGGAGCACAGTGTCCTGATCTTGGCTCACTGCAACCTCCGCCTTCTGGGTTCAAGCAATTCTCCTGCCTCAGACTCCTGAATAGCTGGGACTGCAGGGGCATGCCATCACACCCAACTAATTTTTTTTTTTTTTTTTTTTTTTTGAGATGGAGTCCAGGCTGGAATGCAATGGCACGATCTTGGCTCACTGCCACCTCTGCCTCCTGGGTTCAAGCAATTCTCCTGGAAAACAAGATTATAAGGAAGATGAGGAGGAGGAGGAAGGCAGGATGGAGGGTGCAAAATCAGACCTAGGTCAGAGCATGTTTTATTCTGAGGTTATTCTGTTCTTAGGAAGCATTGCCTATTTGTTCAGGCTGAGAGTGGGTCAAAGATAAGGGTCTGGAGGAAGGAGAGAAATTTGAGGAATGTTTGGTTAACAAATGTTTTGTTCCTACTGATCAGTGAAGACAAAACTGTTCAGCTAATGTTTTATGAAGCAAAGAATGGGCATTTGTAGGCCTGATTCGATGGCTCACACCTGTAATCCTATCACTTTGGGAGGCTGAGGTGGGAGATTAGCTTGAGCTCAGCAGTTTGTGACCAGCCTAGGCAATATTGCCAGACTTTGTCCCAAAAAAAAAGAAAAGAAAAAAGAATGGGCATTTGTAGTCACTATCTGGCTTTGTTATTTTTTGAAAAGAGCCTTAAAGTAATGGGAAGGATATCTTTTCGTGAGTCTGCTTCTGCAGAAAAAGGACTGAGTGGTTAACAGGGCAGTGATTTCTATGATTATAGGGCTTGAGTAAAACTCAACATGATGAACAGTTAGATTTTGCTTCCACAGAATTGGCTTAACTGTAGAATAAATTGTATAAATTGGGAAAGTCTCTGAGGGGCAGACTCAGATGCTTTTGCCTTTTGGAGATAGGGTTTATGAATGAGTTTCTTTGGATCTGTGATAGAATAAAAATATATTGGGTCTTTCTCTCTAGTTCTTCGATTAGAGATCCTAATATCCTTATATTTTCATGAGTGATAAGAGTGTCTTTTTTTTTTTTTTTTTTTTTTTTTTGAGTTGGAGTTTCGCTCTTGTTGCCCAGGCTGGAGTGCAATGTTATGATCCTGACTTACTGCAACCTCCGCCTCCTGGGTTCAAGCTATTCTCCTGCCTGAGCCTCCTGAGTATCTGGGATTACAGGCATGTGCCCCCATGCCTGGCTAATTTTGTATGTTTAGTAGAGACGAGGTTTTTCCATATTGGTCAGGCTGGTCTCGAACTCCTAACCTGAGGTGATCTGCCTACCTCGGACTCCCAAAGTGCTGGGAGTACAAATGTAAGCCACCGTGCCCAGCCCAAGTGTCTTTCATATTCCTAGCAAGCTTAGCTCAATTTATGCTATCAGGTGACTCAGGGTGAAGCTCCTAGATAACTTCTGGTTGTGCTGGTAACCAGAAAGAGCAAACATATCATTAGAGAGTTGGAACTGTAAGATATTCCCCTGCCTTTTTGTTTCTTTTCTTTTTTTTTTTTTTTTTAAAGGCAGAATTTCGCTCTTGTTACCCAGGCTGGAGTGCAATGGCTCAATCTCGGCTCACCGCAACCTCCACCTCCTGGGTTCAGGCAGTTCTCCTGCCTCAGCCTCCTGAGTAGCTGGGATTACAGGCACGTGCCACCACACCCAGCTAATTTTTTGTATTTTTAGTAGAGATGGGGTTTCACTATGTTGACCAGGATGGTCTCGATCTCTTGACCTTGTGATCCACCCGCCACGGCCTCCCAAAGTGCTGGGATTACAGGTTTGAGCCACTACGCCCGGCTTTTTTTTTTTTTTTTTTT